AAGTGTCAAACACGTTCATCACTGCACTACAGTATTACTTAATTCAAGTGTCAAACATGTTCATCACTACACTACAGTATTACATAACCCAAGTGTCAAACATGTTCATCACTGCACTACAGTATTACATAACCCAAGTGTCAAACATGTTCATCACTGCACTACAGTATTACATAACCCAAGTGTCAAACATGTTCATCACTGCACTACAGTATTACATAACCCAAGTGTCAAACATGTTCATCACTGTACTTCAGTATTACATAACCCAAGTGTCAAACATATTCATCACTGCACTACAGTATTACATAACTCAAGTGTCAAACATGTTCATCACTGCACTACAGTATTACATAACCCAAGTGTCAAGAACGTTCATCACTGTACTTCAGTATTACATAACCCAAGTGTCAAACATATTCATCACTGCACTACAGTATTACATAACTCAAGTGTCAAACATGTTCATCACTGCACTACAGTATTACATAACCCAAGTGTCAAACATGTTCATCACTGCACTACAGTATTACATAACCCAAGTGTCAAGAATGTTCATCACTGTACTTCAGTATTACATAACTCAAGTGTCAAGATTTTCATTTTGTTCTTACATAATATTACTTATTACTTTAAATAAAACTGCTAATAAGTAAAAATACTTTTCGTATTTTTATTCTGGTATGGCCCTTGGATATAGATACTGACATATTGCCTCTATTCAACCATACTAGTACTACACAATTAATATCTAAATCTCAAGAGCATACTGTGAACTGAAAGCCCATAGTTTCAAAACAATATCAAAAATATTAATCAAATTCTGTGAACTTGCACAACTTCATCGTGACTTTCAGTTTTTATTCTCTCCTGTTCCTAGCATATTGTTCGTTGCTTTGACAAACAGTAAACATATTACTCAAAGGTCCATTAAATTCCAGATTACAGTTATTCTGACAAACAGTAAACATATTACTCATATGTCCATTAAATTCCAGGTTACAGTCATTCAGTGGCACAAATTCAACTGTTTCTACTGAGATTTATGGATAACAAATTACAACATATTCTCATAAACCCTCACACGTGTCGTATCATTAGTTACTGTCAACAAAACATTCTATATTTCAATATTTTTTAAATTAAATTATTCCCAATATATGAATATTAGACAGAGTCATCCACATTTTCCTTTGTACAGGTTTTCTTTAATTGTCGCTGGTGATATTCTACCTGTCTTTTGTAAATATCACCTGTCAATGACTCCTGCCCAAGCTGTATATACAGGTTTTCTTTAACTGTCGCTCGTGATATTCTACCTGTCTCTTGTAAATATCACCTGTCAATCACTCCTGCCCAAGCTGTATATACAGGTTTTCTTTAACTGTCGCTCGTGATATTCTACCTGTCTCTTGTAAATATCACCTGTCAATCACTCCTGCCCAAGCTGTATATACAGGTTTTCTTTAACTATCACTAGTGATATTCTACCTGTCTCTTGTAAATATCACCTGTCAATCACTCCTGCCCAAGCTGTATATACAGGTTTTCTTTAACTATCACTAGTGATATTCTACCTGTCTCTTGTAAATATCACCTG